TGGCTGGCGCCTTAGCCGGTTGAGCTATAGGCGCCGAGCCATTTTTACAGTTTTTTTCTTCTTCACATGTAGGGAATTTGTTCATAGAGTGGCCACAAGTTCTGTGCCCCTCACACAATGAACCCAGTTTCCTTTTGGGTAAGTTATAAACAGAGGAGCCAAAAGAAAGGATGTGGTTTGCTCCTCAGTGCCTGGCCAAAACCTATATTAGCAGGTCCTCCCAAATTTGATAATAATTGTAAAAGCAACTATGGCATCCTCAACATTACATGAATTATAAAGCTGAAATAAGATTTCCTAAATTAGCTGAATAAGCTAATCTCGATCAACCAAGCAAGAGAATTGAATTATCTGTTGTCTCCATGGAATATATTGCCAAATAATTTTCATATGAAGAAGCAATCAAAAACTATAGAGCCAAAAAGGTAGGAAAAAAGTATGATGGGATGTGTCAAGCACCAGACGAATAAAAAAAAGTGAGTTTGTTTTTGATTTTGTGATGTCTGTAGTATTTGTCAGCTTTTTAAAAAATTGTAATTTTTAAGATTCACTTTTGTTCCTAATTGTGTATCCTTGATGTGCCTCTGCTGAAGTCATGCTTGAGATTAGCAGAAAATAATTGCGTATATTTAGAAATATATAAAAGTCCATTTTTAACATACACTATATTTCACTGAGGTAAAACAAGAGCTTCGATTGTTAAAATCAGACTGTCAAAAAACAGAGCTTTTATCCAGTCACAAGAGAGAAATGAACACGTCTGAAACTACTAACCGATCCCTGTAAGTCTTTCCCTTCCTCCTTAGAACACAGACCTAGCAGGTGAGGTCTCTAGGTAAGATACGCCAGCTATTATTAGATAGCTGGCTCTGATGACTTTCAGTGGGCCAGGAATCTCCATAAATTCCAGTTTTATTTACCTTAAGTCATCTGGACAGACCAGGGGTACCCTGCTAAAAGCATTTCATATATAAGGTCTAATTGTTTTTCCACTAATACCTTGGTCCAGTTAGCATGTTTCTATTGGACTTGGTTATTTTTACCTAGGCATCTCAGGATAGAAATAATTGAGTACAGACCAGCTGCTAATACTTAGCTTCCAATTTATCTCTGCTGTCTTTTCTTCTCATTAGATTTTTCTTCAAAACTAATGCATTCTTTAACAATAGTGAAAAATTGGAAGATGTAGGTGAGATCTTTAAATGAAAATTACTATTATGGTAATTTATGGTAGTTTAGAGGAGGCTTCATCTCAAGCATTATTATTTTTTTTTTTTTGCAGTTTTTTGGGCCAGGGCTGGGTTTGAACCTCCTACCTCTGGTTTATGGGGCCAGTACCCTACTCCTTTGAGCCACAGGCACCACCCAACTCAAACACTATTTTGAATTGTACTTTTATTTGGTGTTCTTAGAGGGTTTGACAGCATGGGAAGTGCACCACAATAAGATTTGGGGAGCTGAGGGCTATGCATTTCTTATGTAAAGTGGGAAAGGTTTTAGTGTGAAAGAAGAAAAGAGATGCTAGGAAATGGCAGATAAGAAAGTATATTTCTTTAAGATATTGATTATCCGGTGGTGTCTGTGGCTCAGTGAGTAGGGCCTGGCCCCATATACCGAGGGTGGTGGGTTCAAACCTGGCCCTGGCTGAACTGCAACCAAAGAATAGCCAGGCATTATGGTGGGTGCCTGTACTCCTAGCTAACTGGGAGGCTAAGGTGGGAGAATCACTTAAGCCCAGGAGTTGGAGGTTGCTGTGAACAGTGTGATGCCACAGCATTCTACCAAGGGCAACAAAGTTTGTTTCTACAAAACAAACAAAAAAAAGATATTGACTATCTTAAAATTCTTATACTATGTGTCCTTATAAAGTTTTTGCATAACTCCAGAGCATACTTCAGTTAAAGATGTGTATAGCATGTAACTTTGAGGCTCCGGGGCTATGGTTTCTGGCATTCAAGTGCCAAGTGTGAATCTACCCTCCTCTCACAGTTGTTATGACTCAACCTCTTTGAACCTGTTTCCTCATCTGTAATATGGTGATGTGATACATAGTAATGGAACCTGCCTTGTAGGGTAGTTACCTAAAAACAATTTTTTCTGAGGTCATACTCTGTTGTCTGGAAAGAGTGCTATGGTGTCAGCAAAGCTCATTCTGCCCTCAAACTCATAGGCTCAAGTGATCCTCCTGCCTGAGCCTCTTGAGTAACTGGGACTACAGATGTGCACCACCACACTGGGCTAATTTTTAAAAATTTTTCATAGAGGTGTGTGTGTGTGTGTGTAAGAGGTCTCACTATGTTGCTCAGGCCGGTCTTGAACTTCTGGCCTCAAGTGATCTTCCTGTCTCATCCTCCCAAAGTGCTAGGATTACAGGCGTAAGCCACTGTGCCAAGCCAGTTTCTTAAAGTAACTGACATAACTCATTTAAAGTTGAGACTCAAAAAGGCTGGGCACAGTGGCTCATACCTTGGAAGGCCAAGGTGGGTGGATAGCTTGAGCTCAGGAATTTGAGGCCAGCCTGAGCAAAAGGGAGACCCCCTCTCTACTAAAAGTAGAAAAACTGAGTCAAGAGGCTTGCTGAGCCCAAGAGTTTGAGGTTGCTGTGAGCTATGATGCCTTAGTACTCTATCCAGGGCAACAGCTTGAGACTATGTCTCAAGGAAAAAAAAAAAGCTGAGACTCAATAAATATTAATGATATTTGAATTTCTTCTCTCTTTACTGACTTTTTTTTAATGGATAGCAAAGAGCAGGGGTTCTTTTGGTTTTTTTTGTTTGTTTGTTGTTTGAGACAGAGTCTCACTCTGTCGCCCTCAGTAGAGTGTTATGACATCACATCTCACGGCAACCTCAAAAACTTGGGCTCAAGAGATTCTCTTGCCTCAGCCTCCCAAGTAGCTGGGACTACAGGTGTCTGCCACAACGCCTGGCTATTTTTTTTATTGCAGCTGTCATTGTTTTTTAGCAGACTCAGGCCAGGTTGGAACCTGCTAACTTTGGTGCATGTGGCTGGCGCCATAACCACTGTGCCATGGGCGCCAGGCCCAAAGAGCAGTTTTGTTTTAAGGAAATCTAAATAATTTTAAGTCTATCTTCATTGAGACTCATGACATTATTCTCTTAATCAGGAATTTACTTCACAGTACAAAAAAGATAAATGTGACTACTACTTTAATCTTGTGACGGTTCCATTAAAAACACTAATATTACATATGGCTTTTTTTTTTTGATAACAAAAGTGTCCTCAGGAGAAAAATCTCCTTGTTAATGGACCTTAGGAGTGAAATGTGCCTATTTGGGTATGTGGGCATCTCATATCCATTATAATTACTAGTCCTGGGTGATTATGCTGAAGACTTTTAGATAGAAGCTGTATTTTAGTTAGATGGATATGCTAAAAGTTTCACCTTAAATTACACTGCAGAGTGTCCCAAAAGTCTCCCCTAACATCACTATACATAGAGAAAATGTAAAATTGTCACTAAATGTACCTTTATTTACAAAATTTTCTCTATGTATAGCAACTTCAGGGGCAACTTTTGGGACACCTTGTAGATTTAATTTCATTCAGATCATCTAGTTTCTTTATATATATATATATATATATATAT